AGCTGGTGATGCTGAGGTCTCGGGCTGAAGCCCGATGGACAGGGGCTTTGCTGGCACCCACCACAGGAGACTCAGTGCCAGAGCCCCAGCCACCTCTCAGTGTGGCTGTTGGTCTTGAAGACAGACCTGGAGAGTGTGGCTGGGGCAGGGCAGACCCTGGAGCAGGAAAAGCCCCTCTCCTTTGAAGAGGCTGGGACTTGAACGTTACTTCTGTGTGTGGAAAAGCAACGTTGAACTACAGGAAGGAATCGCAGCTTCTCTGCCTGGTCCTCTGTTCTTGACCTTCAGTGGGAGCAGTTCGTCATCAGGTGCCCGCCACAGGAAGAGGCTGGCTGGGTCTCAGGTCATACAAAGTCGTTCTAATGCATAGTTGTTCTGATGCATAGTCGTTCTAATGCATAGGACCGGGCATGTACTTCGGCTGGCTCCAGGTCCCTGAATTCATGCCCTTGTGTCCATGTGACCTTGTCTTTGTGCTTGAACCCGTACATTCCAAGAAGGTGAAAGGACGGTCTTTTGTGAGAAAGGGGCTCCTTCCTGTGGGGTGTGGGCATCTTCGCCTGGTGCTCAGGAAGACCTTCGGCACTTGGCGCAGAGGCCTGCGCACAGTAGGTGCTTAGGAAACGGTGCCACCGTTCCCATCACCTGGTTGAGCCTTTGCAACGCAGATTAAGGGTCGGTTGACAACACAAAACAATCACAACAGCCTGTGGCCACCCCTGGAAAAGGGACTGAGTGCTGAGGCCAGGAAAATGGGTACGGCGTGGTGTGGTGTGAGTCATCTGCAAGGATATTTGGGGTGCTCACAGGGTATATTCCACTGAACCAACCAGAAGAGTGAGGGGACAGCATGATGCTTGGAGCGTGACCAACCGAAGCCTTATCACATTAGACCACATTTGTACTCTCATGCACACCTGGCTGCCCGCGTCCTTACGGCACGCCTGTGCAGAGTCAGAGGCACCGAGACTAGAAACAGAAATGCTCCTATCCGACCTGGGTCGGCCCGGAGTGCGCCCAGCAGGAACAGTGCAGCCTGGCAGGAGCGCTCGCACGCCTCCATATCAGGGACGGCCACCCTGTCATTTGGGGACAGAGCACCTTTTTAATGACTTCACTGGAAACCCACGATAATCAGTTTTCCTAAAACCCCAGGCAGTGCTCTCGCGTGCTTGTGGTTAACTAGACAGGATGAGGTAATGAGGGAGCCAGAGAAAGCCTGGGTTTAAGCGGAAAGGTCTGTAACGGCGGCTTAGAAATCGGCTGCTGCTCTTTTTGGTGCAAGTAGTGTATTTCGTCCTGACCAGGTGTATGCCCTTCTTTGGGGAAAATGAGGTGACATGGACGGAGGCCATGAGCCTGTGACTGAGAGGGCCGTGTGGGACTCAGGGTCCATCCCACTCTGGCCAAGGCTGGGGGACGTCTGCCCCAGCACAGGGGCCTGGTCCACACAGTTTCCCAGAAAGGGGATGCCCAGCCTCTCATGAGGCACAATTGGATTCCACCTCCCGGGAGAAACACCGGTTTATCCTCCCAGGGTCCTGCTTGCACTGCCCAGAGCGAGTGAAGTGTGGAATTTAATCACTGGACAGTTAACCTGTAACGAGAACCTGCCCTGCCTCCGTTTCCTTTATTTTCAGAAGAGCCCTCTCTTAAGGTCCATGGGAAAGAGGACTTTTGGGTCTTTTTTTCACATGTGGCAATCTTCTCACTGGACTTCCTTATTTGGGGCAGGACACACAGCAGAGGGAGGGGGACACAGGCGTGAGGAATGGACGGCCCTGGTATTTTACCCCAGATCTGCTGCTTATTAGCTGTGTGACCTTGGACAGGTCACTTAACCTCTCAGAGCATCTATAACAAAGAATGGACGCCTGGGATTCTGCAGATTAAATGAGAATAGTGTTCATAAAGTATTTGGCACAGTACCCATCATCAGACAAACGTGCAGAAAACCTCATGGCTGTTCTAATCTAATACACAGATCACGTAGGCCAGGACCATGCTGTGAGGGTGGGGATTCAGGGGGACCCACAGTCCTGGCACTGCCATCCCTGAGCTTACAGGGGCGTCTGGCCCAGGAACGCACAAGCAGATTCGGGAGCCATCAGTGTTTGGCTAGAAATTAAAGCCACAGGGTAGATGTGGCCACCAAGGAAGAATAAATAGAGCCCTGTGACGTCAGTGTGCCTCCCAGACAAGCAGGGGATTATCCGTCCAACTCACCGCCAGCAGCACACACTTCCAGGAGCCTTCCTGGTAAAAGCCACTTCGGGCAGCATTCACCCTGAGTCTTAGCCTGCCTCCCCCCCACCTGTCCCCATCACCCACCACCCTGCCTGCCAGCAGAATGTAGGATGTGATCAGAGGTGGGAATGATTCCTGGGGACACCTGATGTTCTGCGGTCTCCTGCATGCAGATCCCCTGCATGTGAACCCCCTTTGCCTCATACATTCCTGCAGCATTCACCCCACTTTCTGTAAGAAACTTCGTCAATAGAGGAATCATCCCATTCGGAACCTCATTACCCTGCATGTGTCTTGATGAGATGTGCAGGCCTGCCCGCCCCGTCTCACCCTCCTGGGCTCTCTGTGGTCGGTTGTGTCTGCAAGAGTTGGTGAGCTCATCCCTTCCTTAAGCTGTGACACAGGCCGGGTCTCCTGCCACATGGGAGGGAGAGCCTGGAGGCTCCTCGTGCTCCTGACCGTGGGGAGGACTGCTGGGCCGAGGATTCCCCCGCCTGCCCCAGCTTCTTTCGAGCAATGACTCTGCCCAGGAAAATCTGAGCTCAAGCGTGGAACCGACAAGGCTGTAATTACCGAGGACATCTTGTTACAACTCAGGATGGGGACACCCAGAGCTCCTACAGGGAGGGCGTCTGGGGCTTCTCATATTCCCGGCTTCAAAAAACAAGCCCTGAGCCTGGGCTTTGCCCAGTGTTGCGGTTATGGCAGGAGTCGGTGGCTCTGTGCATGCGCTGGGAGCGGCTTCAGAAAGCCATCCGCAGGCCGTCTGTGGCCCAGAGAACAGCGAGCCCGGCTGGGCCTGGGGCCTGGGGCCTGGATGGAGGAGTGGGCAGGGAAGCTGAGATTGCATTTTACTCTGTTGCTGCCCGGGACCGAGAAGGCTCTCTGAGATCAATCTGTGGTTTGGGGGATGGCAGGCGCGCACAGGGGTTAACGGCTCGGTGAGGGGACCCTGTGCCCCTGGGTCCGTGTCTGTGGCCTGGCACTGACCTCGCATGATCAGGCGCACTGCTTCATGCCTCTGAGCTCTGCCTGTCCCGGGAGGAGGTGGAGGTGTGCAGGACTGCTCCATGCTGCCGGCTGAGCTGGTGAAGACAGCAGTTGTAAAATAGCACCCGCCCAGCAGCCCACTCTGCTGGCTCTCCTCCCCTCCCCCAACCTCCGACAAAAATCTCCAGGGATTCCAGGGCTCTTCTGGTGCCTTTAGGTATTGGAAGAGAAGCCTTTGGAAAGGCAGGTCCATCCCAGTATCAGGGCCTCAGCATCCACCCAGGCCACATCTTTCTTTTCACCCAACTCAGGCCTGATGCTGGAATTGGAGGTGAGCGGGAGGGGACCTGGGACAGAGGCTGTCCTGGGCTTTCCTTCCTCCCCTTCCCATACCTGTAGCTGCTGCTGGCTCCCCCAGGTGGCTGACAGAGGCAAGGAGGTGGGGGCAGAAGAGAAGGGAGAAGTGGTTTGTGTGTGGCTGGGCTGGTGTGGTTCCCTGAGGTCAGCAGAGGCCCTTGTTATGACAGCTGCGCCCATGCTGGCTCCACCTGCCGCGCCTGCGCCTGCGGGAACCTCCTGTGGTTTCTGCCCTGCCTGCTGGGCGCCTCCTCCTGTGGTTTGCCCACGGGGGCAGCACATGCTGGCTGAGCTCTGGGCTGCACTCAGCTCTGGCTCCAGTTGCCTTCTTTCTGAAGCAGGTTTACCTGTCCTTGTTCCCCCCAAACTTTGGGGTGTAGGTCTCTTCCCGTCATAGCCAATGATTGCTCTGCCCCTGTGGCACTGATGGATTTGAGGGGGATTGAACCCCTCTGTGCCCATGCCTTGGGAGGGGCCCCTAGAGCAGTGGTCGGCAAACTGCAGCTCGGCAAACTGCGGCTCACGAGCCACATGTCGCTCTTTGGCCCCTTGAGTGTGGCTCTTCCACAAAATACCGACTTCTGCGCATGCGCCACGAAGTTTCAATCACACTGTACGTGCGCGCCCGCACGTGGTATTTTGTGGAAGAGCCACACGCAAGGGTCCAAAGAGCCGCATGTGGCTCATGAGCCGCAGTTTGCCGACCACGGCCTTAGAGAAATCAACCTTGGGTCTCGTCCTTAAGAGTCTCACAGTGTCATGGGCAGACAGGATGCGGCAAGAGGAACTCTGCACAGGGTAACCCATCAAGGGGCCCACAGAGGGACCGTAGCATTTCTCTGAATGTTTAGCAGAAGGAGGGCTCATTCCAGCTGGGATGTGGAAGACTTCAGGGAGAAGGCATTTTTAGTGGAAATTGTGAACTTTTCCTGGTTTGTAGGCAGAGGTGGTGAACAGGATACTGGCCTGGAACCTGAGCACAGGCGTGGCCCTCGCTGGCCGTGGTACCCAGGACAGTGTGCTCCAGCCCTTCAGCCTCCGCTTCCTCCACTGCGCAGGACAGAGCGCTGAGGAGCATGGACTCGAGCCAGACTGCCTGACTTCAAACTCTGCCACTTGGCTGTGTGCATGTAAGGCAGCTAACTGTGCCTCGGTTTCCCTATCTGTAAAATGGGGGTGATAATAGTAAATTCCACGAAGGGTTGTTGTGAGGATGAAGTGATAAGTGTGGAACACTTCGAATGGTGCCTGGCACACAGCACGTGCTCTCTGGCCACCATGAGATTGGCCTCGTCCATGGGGAGGACAACATTAGGGTTGTTGTAAAGATTAGGGATTAGGGGATCAAAGCCTGGCACACAGTAGGCCCTCAACACAAGACAGTTCTTCTCCTTGTCATTATTAAAATGCAGGTGAGTACAGAATTAGAAGCACAGAGAAAGGCCTCCCAGTAGTGGGAACAGTGCAAGGGAAACAAAGACAGGAGGCAGGAATGTGCAGCGTGTGAGGACAGAACAGACGGTAATGTAGTTCAGAACCTCAGCAGATGCAGGACAAAATCTTTCTGCTGGTTTCTCAGCTGCCTGCGGACTCTCAGGATCCATTTAAAAAGGCCAGTTACCATCAGCAAATCTTCATGGCTGTCTTCCTTTTCTCTGCATACAGGCCTGCTGGAGGGTCTGTGCCTCATCTCTCCAAGGAGGGGGACCTTCTGCTTCCCCCTGGGGCTCCTGTTCGGCTCTGTGCTGCTGGCGACCTCGGCCCCGGCCCCTCTCGAGCCTCATAGCTGCAGTGACAAGGAGCAACAGCTGACCGTCAGCCACACCTACAAGATTGATGTGCCCAAGTCTGCCCTGGTCCAGGTGGAGGCTGACCCTCAGCCCCTCAGCGATGAAGGGGCCTCGCTCCTGGCCCAGGGAGAGGCCGAGGAACAGAATATCATCTTCAGACACAACATCCGCCTGCAGACACCACAGAAGGACTGCGAGCTGGCAGGCCTTGTCCAGGACCTCCTGGCCCGGGTGCAGAAGCTGGAGGGCGAGATGGCGGAGGTGAAGGAGCGGTGTGACGTCCAGCGTTGCTGCCAGGGAGCTGCCGGTGAGCTCACCTTTTGGTACTCATTCAACAAACACTTAGTGAGCAGCTTCTGGTGCCAGGCTTTCCACCAGCCCCATGAGCACTCTTGAGTCTGGTGCCTTCCCACCCCTCAATCTGGGTTTTCCCCAGGGGACCTCATCGCAAGTGGAGCAGGAAGGGACATAAGTGAGTCGGAACTCCTGGTTCAGGCTTCCAGGTGAGAAGGCTCCTGGGTGCTGTTTTGCCAGTGGGCCAATCCCTTCTATAGGGAATGCAGTGGAGTTGAGAGGACAGAGCTAGTAGGGCTGGGGCAAACCCAGGTCTGCCACTTCTTAGCTCTATGACCTTTGGGCAGATTCCTACGTTTCCTGAACTGTCCAGTGAGGATAATTCTATCAACTAGTCTGAGAACTACAGATGATGTATTTGAGATTCCTGGCCCATAGTAGAGAGTCAGCCAATTGTTTTTTAAAAAAATTCTAGCAAGTAGCCCACTGCACATGTCATTAGTAAAAATCTCCCCTTCCCAGGCATGACTGCTTAAGGGAAGGTTGGCCATTCTTTTATCCTCCCTCAGCAAGATTGCTGGTGGCCTGGTGAGAGAGGTGGGAGGGAAGGGGTTGGAGTTAAGCAAGACATAATCTAACTAGAACTCAGCACTAGGTTAAGACAGGCCGAAGTGGGCTGGGTGGAGGAAGGCAGAGCATTCCCTTCAGGAGGCTGAAGGGGGTGGGGTAGCTGGGTTGCTGTCCCTCTGAATATATCTGGGCTTCCTGCAAAAGAAGAAAGAAAAAAAATTGTTTCAATTATAGTTTACATTCAATATATTCTGCATTAGTTTCAGGTGTAGAGAATAGTGGTCAGACAATCATATACTAAGGTGTTCCCCCCATCTCCCATATCTCCAGTATCTAATGGGCACCATGCATAGTTATTGAAATACTAGAGGCACAGTGCATGGATTCGTGCACTGGTGGGGTTCCTCGGCCTGATCCCCGCAGGCCAGTCCGAGGAACCCCACCGGTGTATGAATCTGTGCACCAGGCCTCAAGTATGCATATAAGATCTTCGGCTAATCTCTTCCCGCCCTCCCCCCTTCCCCTTTCCCTCTGAGATTCATCAGTCTGTTCCATGTTTCCATGTCTGCATTGAGCATCTGCCCCCTGGTGGTCATTGATGTCATAGCTACTGGATGGTTGGCCCTCCACCAGTTGCTTAGGCTTCTATATATATAGATTACTTACTATATTTCCTATGCTGTACTTTATGCTCCCATGCCTATTTTATAATTACCAATCTGTACTTCTCAATCCCTTCATTTTTTTAATTAAACTCCCAGGCTGATCCAAATAATAACAAGTGGCCCTCCCCAAGCATTTCTATTGCCTGAAGAAATTGCTCTGGTGAAGAGCACCCTTAGAGGCTGGACACAGAACTAGGCACCTGGAGGCTGCCAGGAATTGCCCCTGGGGAGTCTCCATGGTGGAAGTGTTTTTAGGAAGGAAAGCAGGTGTTCTGAGAAAGGGGCGGGGCGACTGGCCCACCCTCTGATTGCCCCTTGCTGTCTAGGGTCAGAGGGGGATCCTGGCTAATCCCTTCCCCCACCCTCACCCGGTGCCTTCTGGGCTTTGGGGTAGCTTCTGCAGGTCCACTTTTCCGGGCTTCAGTGTGGGCTCACTTGCCAAGGGCCTGGCCTCGCTGGTCCAGCCGCCTGCAGCCAAGATAAACCGCGATCCCACGCAGGCTGGAGCCAGGGCCCCTCAAGGAGAGAAGGCTGACCGCCATTTAGAGGGGAGGGAACCGGGGATTCACGGGAGCACTGGGGGTGGGGCGGGGAAGGGGAGGCTGGTTCCTTTGCAGAGGAGGAGGAAACGTCTGCAGCTTTCCCAGGTCCCAGTCTGGCCCAGGTTGGAAGGGTCGGACCCCTACCGTCCTCAGAGAAAGAGCCCTGCAGGTCCGCTCTTCGGGTCGCCAGGGAAGGAGGCCCTCACGCTCCAGCCCTCACCCCCGCCTTTCCTCTCCCTGGCAGGTCAGGGCGGCCAGTGCAGCGGCCACGGGACCTTCTCCCAGGAGACGTGCGGCTGCCGCTGCCAGCCGGGCTGGGAGGGTGCCCCCTGCGAGG